TGCACGGTGTAAACGTAGCCTATATATAGTCTATTCATGTTGTTGCACTTTTTGCACTCAACATCTATGCTTTCTCTTTTTTTTCTCAATGCGCAAATATACATATATCTATCATTTTAAGTTCAAAAATTTTTAGAGATTTCAAGCAACACAAACGACAGCAGGTGCGTTCGAGAAGACGCTATTAGCACTATTAGCTTCATTCTAATTATCATTCTATCCTTGTTTTACATCTAATAAACAACGAAGATAGAATGACAGAGTAGCGCTAATAGCGTCTCCCTGAACGCACCAAGCGAGAAATTTAATGACGAATCTTCCAAACTTATAGAAATTCCGCTACTATATTATCGTCGGTAATAAGACAATTATTAGCAAATTTAGGATATCGATTAATTTATTAATGTAATTAATAATCGTTTAAATGATGTATGTAAATATGCTCGTTGTTGGCTCGTTATTTTTTCATATTTCTCCGCATGTTACTATAGCTATATTAATATTTACTTATTTTTAAATCTATATTATCGATAAATGCGAGGTCTACAATAGAAGTCGTAACGGTCGTAGGGTTTTAAGTCGTAGAAAATTGATCAATCATAGTTAATTATTCTTCTCATATTCGACTTGATTGGTCAATTTTCTACGACTTAAAATCCTACGACTGCTACGACTTCTATTGTAGATCCCGCAGAAGATTTCTTGCAGCAAATACATGTTGATTAGTTTTTACCTTTGGATTCTGACCAATCACATTTGATTGTTCAGTGAGCGATTATGGTATTGGATACGTCGTTAACCAGTAATAGGAAAACGTACCTTCTAGGAATTTTTATCGTACTTAAACCCTAATTTTAACCCTTTCCGCTCGACAGCGATTTGATCGTTTGATGTGCCTAGAATTTTAGGTTATGTTGAATTAGAATTAGGTTACGTTAGGTTCTTTGGTACGGGATTAACGATTATATATATTTTTACTATAAACTATAAAATAATACAAGTCCAAGTGCGCGTAAACATGTTGTTGTTAAAACGTGGATGTGAGGTGAACTTCATACAAAGTTTGCCGAAAACGCTGAGATTTCTTGCAGCGCATTCAAGCGCCTCGGAACCAAATGAACAGGAACGTTGGTATCGGTTATGTACTTCACTTTGTTGCGCTAGAAACAAAAGATAAATATACTTGTCTCCATTTTCAGAATTTCGAGTACTGGAACTTTTCCCACGGAAAAAGAGCGTCATGCACGAAAAGCAAAAAACACATCATATAAACATCCCACCACCCAGGTCAAACGAGATGCCTATCGACCAGGACTGGCCGTCGGTATGGCCAGGTGCGCGAACCTTTCACCCTGCTTCTGTACCTCTTCCGTTGCGCCAAGGATACCAAGAAAAAGACATAGCACCGCCCAATAAATACGCCAATGCCGAACTAATGAAAATACCAAATTTCTTGCATCTTACACCACCGGCGATACAGAGGCATTGTGAAGCGTTGAAACAGTTCTGTACAGAGTGGCCCGCTGGTTTGGAAACAGAGGAGAAATGCATGAAACATTTTCCAGTCGAGATCATTACATCTGATTATTGCTACTCTTCGCCTACCATAAGAGAGCCACTCGCTAGGATTGTGAGTCTACGAGTGAGGATCTCCTCCCTTCATTTAGATACTCATGCCAAAGATAAGCTGCTGCGATTACTAGGAAACAGGTACAATCCAGACACAGATATAATAACAATTACGGCTGATAGATGCCCAACCAAAAAGCAAAACTTGGAGTATGTACGATATTTATTGACAGCGGTGTATCACGAATCTTGGGTAAGTAATAGCTGAACCATATGAATATTTCAAATTACTCTATTATATGTAGTTCACGAGTTTAGTGAGTAAAGCTTGAGACAATTGAAAAACAGGCAATAGGAACAGAGAATAACAAATTTCAACTCATCAGACACCATATATTCTGATATATATAGTTTCTAATAGGTTGAAATTTATTATTTCCTGTTCCTATTATCAGTACTTTTCAATTGTGTCTCAAGCTTAACTTGAAATCTTACTTACAGAAGGTAGAATCATGGGAAGCCGAGAAATCAGTGGCAGACATGGAGTATTACGATTGGGACACCAGCCCGAGTCGTACTCACCTAGTAACGCTGTACAAATGGCCGGAACCACCGATGGATTATGATTACGAAACTATTCCGCATGCAACGGAATACAAAATTGCAGTTTCAGATCTTATAAACAACGGCGAAGATCAATACTCGGTCAATAAGTACAAAGAAGCTGTTAAAAATTTATTAAACCTTAAGTGTGATAATAAAGGTTGAAAAGTTATATTTATATTATTAACATCTCAGATCGATTGTGGTTAATGTCCGAACGTTTTGACGCACACAGTCACATCTGAGATAATTAAATTTAAAAATTAAGAATTTATATTATATTCATAACATCTCACTTTGACCGATTATTGGCGTTCTTTATATTTATGCTTAATAAAGGTTGGATTTTAAGTATCGTGTAAAATTGAACTATATCACGAAAAGCTAAATTAATTTTAACTAGCATTACCTATTTCTCTGTGATTTTCATAAGCGGTGTCTTATTTGAAAGATCAATTTGCCGTGTATAATTTTACGCTTATTACCTATCGAGAGTAATGTCAACATAGCAAGATCGAAATTGCGCTATTCATAACAATACTCGAATTTACTACAATTTGAATAAAACGCGAACAACTGGAGCGTACAAAGAGTCAACCGGAAACGCTCGTTATCTTTTTTTCGGTATTTATATATTCGTCGAACAGAATCGAGTCTTCATATCTTCGAAATGTGAAGTAGAAATTCTGACGGCGTATCGCAAACATTAATGATTGTTTTTTTTTATGCTTTATAACGATATAGTATCGTTCTTAATGCGTTGAGGATCTTGCCCCATGTATAGTAACACGCATAATATAAAAAGTAACAGAAGTTTAAATAGCCTGAACATAAAATGTTGAAGATTACATTGCTTCTTGGTGCGTTCGACATTATTCGATGTGAGATGCAGACAACAAGATTAGAAAGGACTGTAACCGAAGCACCGTCTTGCAGTAATCCGCCCATGTGTTATTTACCGGATACATACAAGACAGAGCTGAAGAGCATATCGTTTCTACCTTATCCGAATTCTCCGAATGTACGCAAGCAACAATCGATTCAACGCAGTTATTATGGTGGGTTCGGCTCGTCCGCACCGGCTTACTACCAGTAAGTTTTTCTTGAAATAATCATATCAAATCCTCTTCCCTCGTTGCAAAGATAGTTTGTCGATAGTAAAGTGTATTTTAGCGCTTTCGATCCCATCAGCGTATTAGCGTCATTGGCGTTCTTGGCATTTTTGTTGCAATCATTTGCCACGCTTTTCGAACGTTCGAGATCGATCTTACCGACGATAATTAGTGGCAGACAGTCGGCCGTAGACTTGAGAGTTCCAGAAATTTCAAAACACGTGTCACATGCCTTGCAGGAATACGTGAGTTAAAGTTGAATGATAGCTGAGTAACAAACAATAAGAATATAATACATTGAATGTGATACTTTTAGGAAAATCTCAATGACGACTTGAAGAAGAAGTAATTGATAATAACTTTGTGTATAAGTAATATTTAATCGTTTTTCAAGCGATTTTTAGAAATTTACATAAATAATTTATTTTTTTCTTATGGATACATCAAATAGTCGATATTCTCCACATGGCAAAAACTTGTTGTCAAGATATATAAAGTAATTTAATTTGTATTTTCACTTATGTGATGTAAATCTTTAAATATAAGTTTGGTATACAAAGCATTTTAATAGTAAAAATGCACCCTCTCTCTTTTTCTTTCTTTGGCGGCAAATTATATAAAGCTTTGCATTAATTATATAATATACTTTTCGAAAACAATAACGAAATGTAAATCACAATTGTTGAGCATTATCTTGCTTTATCTGTGCCGCCAGTATTAATTAAAATTAAATCAAAGAGAATAGGTCATATATATATATATAGATGCATGATATATAGTTCACACAAATTATAAAATTTGTCATTTCCTAAACGTATACAGAAAAAGAGAGAAAGACATTGCTTGCACAACTATGTATATTTTTTTCTGCTAAATTAAACTAAAAAAATATAGGTAACATTAAAAGAAGTCATTTTATTAGAATACTTGACTTTACTCTTTAAGCACATAGTCAATATTATCTACTATTTAAAATCTCGCATCTATGTAAAAGTCTTCTTGAAAGTCTTATTACTTAACGCAATATTTGTAAGATCATCATCTCTTCAATCTTGCGTCCAGGTATCAAATTTTTGTCTAATATTTACCATGGAACTCTAGTAGATGGTGGAGCAGGAATGGATCTATAACAGGAAATAATATTTTACATATATTAACATATACTAATCGGAACAGATTTAGATAATACTAGATATTCTCTCTGATACTTACTTTTTCCCAATAGTTGGCTTTTGATACGGATGGGTTGTCATAAGGCCACGCCTCTCTTTATTACGTATCGCCTTAAACGCCACGTCTGTCTTTTCCTCGGTATTGTTATGTCGGGAAAGAGATGACAAAGTAGTTGTATCGCTCTTTAATTTATTTAGAATAGCGACACTTTTTGCACTCATTTGTATAGGCCTCTGCTGTTTGTTCTCCTTATCTCGACCAGTATTCTGTACTTTGTTATTCGTTATTAGCTTTTTCGTCTGCTTGGAGGGAGTACTACTGTTTTCACTGTTTTTGTCAGATAATGCACGTTTCCTGATTATGTTCTTCGCAACAGTTCTTTCTCGTGGAGATGCTTGCATAGATTCGTCTTTCGACAAGAATTTATTTTCGTGACTTCCATTGCTTAAATTACTTCCGTTACTTAAATTACAAATATTGCTGTCGATATTATTCTCACCCGTAGCAGCATCGAAGGTACAATTCAAAATATTCGTATTGTTTTGTCCCTCATCGTCCATCTCTGCGATTGCTGGCATTGGATTATTTAATGGGTCTATTCCACCTGTACTCAAACATTTAAACATATTGAAATCGTCCACTTTGTTTGCCTCGTCCGTATCAGACCATTTGATATTTCGAAAACCTTCGAGCAACTTTATTAATTCCTTAAATTCTTGTTGCATTTTTTCGGTCATTGTACCGAAGCCTTTCACCATATTATAGTAATTCTGTAATATATTACTCATACTCTTCGTTATCGTGTTAATCGATTGCCTCTCGCTTTGCAGGACACTGCTGAGTTTCTTCATGTGCTGTTGCATACTGGAAATCCAACATTTCTCAATCTTGAAAATTTCCAAAGACAGTTTACTCTGCAGATTCTCATCGAGAGGCTTAGCTTTTGTCTCTTGTATTTCTGTTTCGATCGAACATAGTTCCTGCCATGTCTCTTCCGTTTGCGCTTTAAGGGCCTCTCTCTGCCGCTGGAAATGTTGTAAAGATTTATTAATGCGCAACTTTCCGCTAGCGTTTTGTTCTTCCTGTGACAAGATATCGCTGGCTGCCGTTAGATTGTGCAGTCTCTCATCCGCGTCTTTCTTATAGAGTATCCTGCAAGACAAAATCTTATCGGCGCTCTCCAAACTCAGTATCTTCTCTATCAGATCCTTCTTCTTCTCATGTAATTTTATCAGTTTGTTGTACGCGTCCAACATGTCGACATTTGGTTTGTTCTCAATCACTGGTTGCGGTGTTCCATTCTCATAAGCTGCCAATTTCGATTTCAGAATATCTATTTCCTTCTTCTGTTCTTCCACTATCTTGATATAGCCAGCAACGTGTGTTTCGCAAGATACATTCTTCTTAGCATTCGATTTGATTTTCTTTGCTCGATTCGCGTATCTTAAAGTATTATGTGTATCTTCATAAGTAATGCTACCAGGGGCGATATTAGCTATCATAACAGTGTGGCAATTACCGCCGAGTGAATCCTTTAATAGCCTCGTAAGTTTAGAGTCTCTATATGGAATATACTTTATACCATCTGCTAGATTATTTATACAATTCCCAAGAGCCAATAAGGATTTATTGATGTTAGCGCCTTCCTTAAACCTCACACCTTTGCATCCGGTAGCCGAAGCTCTTTCAGATCCTGCCAAATCGATCATGGACAGTTTGACTCGCTGCACCTGACTGTCTAGCTTGTTGATTATCTTGATGTACACTTGAAAAACTGCATGACTTCTACTGCTTTCCTTGTTAGCATCCGTTGGATGCTGAGTACGATTCTTATTACCCTCTGCCAACAGTGACAGCAATTCCTCAGCATTTTGGATAGCAATAGGTTCTAACCCAGCGACTACGACTCCACATCTACCATCTTCCCTCAGGTGCAATTGGCCTGACTTGTGCAACAAATCTTGTACGTTCTCGTTATATATTTCCAGATAAGACACACCCAAGGCAAATTCGCGATGTTTGCTCTGATTCTCAATCTCTGAGAAGAGTTCTGCCACAGTATGATACGTAATACCAGGGTCTTCCCTATTACCCAGCATAGTATGAGTTTTTCCAGCACCGGTGGCACCATAGGCAAATACGGAGCAATTGTAGCCGTCCAGGAGGCTGTTGATCAACCTCTTGGTGCTTCCCTCGAACACGTTGGTATTGGTGGATGTCGAATCAAAGACCCTGTCAAAGATAAATTGTAGTTGCTTGTTCTGTTTCTTCAGCATGTCCCTACCCTTCTGCGCCACGTTGTGGAAGAAGAAGGGCGTCTCTTGTTCCTTCGGGTCAAAGATTAACATTTTGTCATCGACAACCTCGATAATCGTTCTGCTGTTATCCTGCAGCTCGCGTTCATTGGGCGGACGAACTCGCACGATCACCTTAATTGATATTTCGGAGATATCCTCTGTTTTTATCGTGGAACTGCTTGTGCTCGGCTTGACCGATCCGCTGGCCGACAACTTCCTCTTGAGTCCCACTTTCTTCGCTTTAGATGGCGAGAACGCCTTGCCTAGATCTTTCTTGTTGAAAACCATCGTTAGTAGACTACGACCGCTCGAGTTTGACTAATTCGCGATCCTCACAGTATCATAGCGCATAATTTCAGAGAGCAAAGGAACGGACGTCGCTCACGTTGCTCTTCTCACATCGTGACATCGCTCGACGCCACTGTCTCGGAAACTTTCGGGCGTTTCGTCTACTGTTAATTAATCTACACAACACCGTTACTCGACGTGCGTTGAACTCGCTCGAGTCGGAGGCAAGTTTCTTTCGTCGCAAAAGTGGAAGAGAACCGTCAAAATCAACCCGGAGCCAACGAATAAACACTCGTCACCGAGGAACACGGAGAACCGTTTGGCGTTACGTTGAGTTTTGAATTTTAAACGCCGACGATCGAGCGCAGGCGCGCCAATCGCGAGACGATCAAAATCTCTAGGGGAAATGACACCGTCAGGTTTCCTCAGGCTCGGTTTCCAACAAGTCGTGATTACGGATTAACGTCCACTAGGAAAACTGGTGCAATATCTGTACACGCTGAGTGCAATTGATTATGAATGAATTCACATATCTTTCGTATTAATAAATAATTTAACCCTTTTTATTACATATTCTTTGTTGTCACAATAATCCCATAACTTTAAAAGGATTAAATTATTTATTAACGTTTGAAATGTCCCTGGTGAAAATTTTTCTCAGAATTTTTCATATAATTTTTCAGAATTTCTATATAATTTTATAACTTTTTCATATTTTTTATACGAATTGGAACACTTCTCAGGAAATCTACATCTTTTCTCAGAATTTTTCATATATATTATTTATGAAATATCGTCAGATTTTTTTAAAGTTTTTGTAAGTAAATCACCGACGAGATACTATTAAAGACCGTCAACCCTGGGCAAATTTTCGGCGGTATAAAAAGGG